CTACCATATATTCTTAGGCTACTCTTCTTTGATCGAATACTTGATTATGTAATTAACATCTACCATATATTCTTAGGCTACTCTTCTTTGATTAAATACTTGATTATGTAATTAACATCTACCATATATTCTTAGGCTACTCTTCTTTGATCGAATACTTGATTATGATTGCCATTTTATAGTGCAGCTACGTCCCAAAAGCACGGAGGGCATTTTCGTGCCAACAGGTCGCGAACCACAAATTCTCGGGTACTCAATCTGGACACATTAACGACTAGTTACACCTGATCCTTGTAAAATATGATCATTTGATAAAGTCTCAAGCTATTTTCATCATGTAGTCAACCAGCTTGGACAATTACTTTCATCTCAAAATTAATTAATAAAATAAGAGCCTAAGAATTTCTCGGATATTATAAAAATTTATAACACAATTACACAAGAGATTTGTAAAGCTAGGATGAAAGTAACAAATTAATTAAGTTGGTTAAACAAAGAAGTGAATTTGATACTCCATGGAGGAGAGGAGAGCTAAAGGAAACTTAGAAATAATAATGTAAATGAATTGCGGTCAATATCCTTCTTTCTTTCTTTTTGGAAAAGTAGGAAAATATTTTTCAACATTGTGGCCAAGTAAGAAATATGATATCTAATTTATTGTTGTACATTGGTAGTGCAGCTTTAAGGAAATAAATTAAGATATAGTGCAGATTAGAAAATTAATAAATGAAAACACCTTTAGAAATTTAAACCATTAGGTTAGTATAAATTATTTGTATCAAAAAATTTAGTGTTTTGTTAATGTTTAAATTGATGGCATTGAAAGTTTATTTTATGAAAACACGGATTTAAACGTTAGTTTCATAAAATTGACAGATCCTACAAAGATAGGTCAGACGTAATCTAGTGATTAGTATGCCGGACTGCAAATCGAAAGATCCAAGATTCAAACCTACGATTAACCACTGAACACACTCCGCACTTAGAGTTGTAAAAGTGTCAGTCAGTCCCGCTATTCGGTTGAAAGTTGTCGTGCAAGCGCTGGCTGCTGTATACTAATTACCCCCTTCTGGTCAGAAATTATAAATTACAGAAAGTTAAGCCATAATCTTGCACTCTCTTACTGATCGTTTAGTCCCTAGGTCGCATAAGGTGCTCTTCAGGTTGAAACGCCAAATATATATTTGTGATGTTGAGTAGTGGTATACTGTAGATACATACTGGTATAAAACAAGTTGAAGGTAACTTCGAAATATGATTCAAGAGTTGACAAAACTTGCCATTGGATACATTATTTAGTAAATGTGTTGGCGACAATAAATTAAAATCACTTGTTAATCATCCGAAACTGTGAAAAGCAACAACAACATCAACAAAAGATGATGTACAGAGAAAGGAAAGATCTAATACCATAGCTTTTAATTTACAAACTTCATTTCTGAATATTAAAGTATGAAAAGAAAACGTCGTTAATTTTAACTTTTGCCATACATTTGTATAAAACAATAATAATAATAAAATCCGGCATAAGAATTTAAATGGTACGGCAGTATAGGAAGATAGAATAACTTAAAAACTTCCTCTACATTGAAAGAGACAGAACTGATAGTTCCTTTTAACACCGCCCGTATCTGCAAACTGGATAAGCTCATGTTTGTCAGAAAAAGATGATCCATTGCGGAAATAGATTTAATTCAGTTTCCTTTTTTGAGCAATATCATTGGCCGAAATGACAAAGATTTAAACTATTTTTAACTTGAGTGGACCACTGACTACTACAAATCGATGGATCGAAATTGTTGACGACTGCTTCAGTGACTGTCAAAAAATTAGAATTCTAGTTCAAAATGAAAACTTATATTGTAAATGTAAAAGGCTATGTAAAATGTAGAAGAAACAAATCGATTTTTCAATACCCCTACGATCTTCACAGTACCTTATTTAGTATTCTACAAAACGTTTGGATGCAATATACCAAGCTATTTTTGTTGTAGGCTGGCAAGAGAATAATAATATGAATAAAAGAATTACAAACGGATTTTCTTTTTCTTGTAAATCTAACATGAGTGCTTTTTTGTGCATTTTTGTATGTGCACAGCCTTGGCAGTTAATAGTAAGGGTTTAGAAGTGTTGTTTGAACTGAATCTTTACTGTTTAAGGTCCTTTTTGCTCGAATGTTCTGTTAGGGTTTTGTGCAATTCCTTGTGATCCCTATTATGAACCACTAGCGTGGCTCATGATATATATAGAAATAGTATCAGCAGAGGAGAGGAAATAAACTTAAAAACATTTATTTTTTTAACAAACATGCTTTGTACAAAGTTGTTATTTAGAAGATAATTTTCATTGAACAGCTTCCTTTGAAACAAATTAATTGTATAATAAAACTGTGTTATATTTCGAACAGGGGAGATTTGATTTATAGATAAACGTTCTTTGGTTTAAGATCGGAATTACCATTACAACGAATTGCGAATCATGAGTGAGTTATCGGATGTCCAGTTTCATATAGAACTTTCGGATCACCGAAATGAATGGACTTAACCGTGATACTCCCATGTGCTCATGAATGCGAACGGCAAAATGTCTTTTAGTTTTACCAAGATAGGCAGCCTTACAGTCACCAAACATATATCTATATACAACCCAAGAGCGAAAAGAGGTAGGTAAATAATACTGTATTTATTTGAAGAAATATTTTGCTCTAAAGGACGCTTTGAAAATTATTTTAAGTTTAACCTGTGAGTAGAACTTTCTTATTAACGACTTAAGAGGCTTAGAAAGTATTATACTTTGTTGTCTTAAGTAAGAGATAGACTTGATTGGCTGCTTTCCTTTTATTCAATAGCTCAAAATGAGGGACAATTAACCCGAACCCTAGGGTCATGACCTGGCCGTTTAGCACACGTGTAGATAGTGCGGGGTCAAAATTCTAATTCCAACAATTATTAGTAGCGGTAACAAAAATAACCCCCATGTTAACAAAAAACTAACAACATCGCCATATGCTGTTAACAACAATCGTGTGATTAGCGTAATAGAACTTATCAGACAGGCGGTAGCATTGCCGGTGAAAGAATGGCTCGGATTGTTCATGGAAATGGTATTTTAAATATCTCCTCAACAGGTTATCATAGCTTTACAATACCATACAGTGTTTCCTTATATAACAATATCTATGTAATGACTGAGTCACAAGTTCTGGCAATGTCTGTAAATATCATAGCAAAATTTGTTCTTCTTTCTTCTGCTTCTTTTCTTATTATTTGATAACTCAAAAACCAAAACAATGGTGTCAACCGAATTCACTGAGATGACATAGTTTCAAACGGAGCATCCGCTTTTATAAGTATTATTAATAATTAGAAGTAATTTAGAAAAATCACAATTTTAGTGTAAATGATGTTGTCATTAGCCCTTGAAGTTACTTTTCTTACAGAAAGTTGGTGTTCCTTTAAAAAGCTTAAGTACATGGTGAAACAGCCAATAATAGATAAACAATAAATATTACAGTTGGAACTTCATTGTATTTAGAACTTGGTTATAGATACAACCTTCCTATGTTTACTGAAACACTGCATTAAAAAAACAGGCAAGCAAGTAAAGAAAAAAATTTTCAAAAAAGGAGGTAAATGTAGGGATGGCTAATATCAATCCTTCAAAGACAATGCAAACAAGATAGTAGGGATGGCATTTGCAGCATCCCTACATAATAGCACAGACAAGAATTAACATGTAGCAATATATATAATTATTCAATCACAATTAATAATAAAGGGCATTTCAGAATTAGATCCATACATCCTATAAATATCACAATAGATATTTCCTGATATGGCAAAAAACAAGAGCTTTGTATTGTATGATATCCTACAAACCTTTGAGACTGATACAAGGAACAACGACTAGATCTAAATTCACAGCAGGGCATTTGTTCCATCGCCTGAAAGTTTGGTAAAGTTCGTCTTCTTTGTTGTGAAGCTTGACCACCGGAAGAAGACACCGAGTTATCAATATGTCCCAGCTGAAATTCAGAAAAGTTGACATATCAACCGTCAACGTGATATAATAAAAGCCTGTAACCTGTTTAAAAGATTTTCTTTCCATGAAATCTGAAGTGAAAGCATAACTCTATAACTCTCAAATTAGGTATGAGATATTGTGTTGCAAAAGGGAATATTTAATTTTTTTAACCTATGTCTGATACCATTTATATACGGGGATATCGCATAAACTTTTTTCTGGCCTTAATTATCATGCTGCGTATTCAAGCTTGGGAACAGTATTTAATCAAAACATTGCTTCAATTAAAACAAAAATCACAATTGCTTCAAGACCAAAATGAATTATAGCAAGTCCTGTTATTTATCATTACATTTTTCACATTTTGCAAATAAACGTCAACACCTATAACATTTATACATTTTGTGTACTTGAAAGAGGGTCGATGTTAGATCACATACGACAAATGTAGAATGCATAAGTTTTGGCAATGTTATGTTTAGCTTTAATACATTAAATTATAAACTTTTTGTGTTATAATTATGTACATATTGGCGATACAGAAATAAAAATAACTAGCTAAATAAATAGACCACCACTTGTAAGAGATCTAACATCAAGCTTAAGCTTAAACATAAAGTTAAACAGTATAATTATTAATATGGCTATTAAGGCCATAATGAATTGACCCAACGTGTAGTCAATCAAGTCAATTATAATGTAGACAATCACATGATGTAAGTTAGAATTACGATTACGTGTCGAATCAATGGGTTATGGCTCTGTGATCGGTGGTCAACAGTATATATTGACTCTGAGTTGTGGAAGTTTGAGTACACATTGAACTGAGTCAATATGTTATGGCATTTTTGGCTACCAGTCACAGAGCCATAAAGTATGACTGAGTACCTAATATTTATAAGTTAATCATTCAGTTACAGCGTAACTTATTTTATCAAGATAATTCCTCAGTTAAGACATGTTTATGGATTCCTCCTTAATTAGGTACAATAGTTTGTTAACATCTATAACAGCTTTGTTAAGATAATATTTTTATTACTTTTTTACATTATATTTCGGATACTTTCAAACAAATTAAAACGGTTTACAATAAACGGTCCAGTGCTGTTACTCTCTAGACGGAATGTTTGTAATGGCTGAACTAATTGAGAGTTGGCTGGCATGGTTGGCTGGTCTAAACAGCTGTTGATTTCATATGATAGACTTTTCCTGGCTTCTGGTGAAATGATGAAACAGTTGGACTGAGGTTTAGTTACTGAAGAATCGTTGTGATCTGTATAACAAATTAAATGTGAAGAGAATTATTTTCTTAGTTTGAAATATGAAGAAAATGTTAATGTTCACAACAATTCCAGTGCTTTTAGGGTAGTTTCGTTTTTAATTTATATGTATGTTTATTAACTTAACTGCTAACGAGGCTTTGAAATTCACAGTGCAGTAAATACGCCATTTATCATGATTCTTTGATATATTTACCAATTCATAACTGGTATGCTGTCTAATTCATTCATTAAAATTTTCACACTGTGCATAAAAGAAGAGGCTGTTAGACACCATATACAACATTACACATCACCGTCTGTATGCCTACCCATCGTCTTTACTTAGATTTCACTGTGCAGTAGTCTCACAGTTTTACGAAAATGTGATGATGCTGTGGAAGATCAAAATCAGTTCAAGCTTTATGGTAAGGTACGTACGTATGAAATGACATATTTTATTTCACATACTGACCATGTTCTCCACATCCAACAGCTTTACCAATATCTTGTACTTTTTGACATATTATCTTAAAAGTTTGTGCTTATTTAAAACATTGAAAACAACCACTGTTGCCATTTCAGCAAGATCTTGGGGGAAGGGGGGCTAAGTTGAACCCTCTAATTTCTACAAAATACAATTACAGGAAATGTTGATGACGTTGCACGTTTCGGAGTTCATTCATCAATTGTAATAACTACGACAGAGCCTGAGGGATAAGAGAAAAAAAAAGGCCTATAAAATTTCAATTTTGTATTTTCAAGACACACGGTAGTGTGGCGAAAACAGCCTGCTGCAGGACACACTGTTATTAACAGGAGTGATAGTTTAGCGATTTTCCACTTTCGGTATCTCGGATTGTGGTAATCCAAACTAATATATATATTTTCAGTGGATGTGAGCTACTGGACTCTTACTTCACGAACCAAAGTTCAAGGCAATCCATTAAGAAATTCCTGAGATATAACATCTCCAATTTTGATTGGGTTTTTCCTTTTTTTTTCATCGCACCAAAAGTACGGAAATTTTATTTGTTAGAAAAACACACTTAACTTGTATGGATCTTGTTTTGTTACACTAATAGAGTTTTTCAACTTACAATTAGGAGTCTCGTTTGGTGTAAATACAAGCCATATGTGCAAAGTTATTCAACAAAAACCGCTCAAATTTGACGTAAATTTTTGCGCACGCCTATGCAAAAGTCACGAAAGCTATCGGTCTAAAAGTTTTATGACAACTTCACCTAAAAGTAAAGGTGTATCTTTTTTAGTTTCTTTGTCATTCGGATTAAAGACGGCTGATTTAGAGCAGCAAAACTGTAAGGTGAAAGGACGTGCAGATACATAAGTATTGGTTAGGCCAACCAAACTAGATTAGCAGTTTCTAGCTCAAGTTTTCAAACGAATCATACAGATGGACGGTTATTATTGGTTATTCATTGCAAATTTTTAAGCATAAATTTACTAAATTTTATGAAATTATCCTAATTAAAGAGCATTTAGCGTCTCGTGATATTAGTTTAAGCAATTAGCATAAATAATGATGCTTGATACGGCTGTACCGAGTGCATGGAGGTGATGACAAGAAACTGTTAATCTATATTCCATAGCGTTACTGTGAAGGAAGCTATTAACACTGTTTTAGAGAGGAAAGCTACCACCATATATTTTAAAGAATCTGGTTGGTTCTGTAAAGTAAAGGTCTATTCCGAATAATAGGGTTGCGATCCTAAAGCTAATGTTGGTTACTATCGAGTGTCATTTTATTAATTACTGTTGTTTGTTGGTGTGTATTGACAAAAGTCTTGGTATCTAATCAAAAACGCCTTAGGTGGAAAAAAAAAGGTGCAGCCAAGAAAGTATTGAACGTGCGACTTAAAGGAATGAAATTAAAATTGGCTGCCAAACTGGTAGCTACACTTATGGCATTGATGGGAATTTTACAGCAAATATTCATCATATTTTGAATCATGGCATTTCGTGAATTTCTTATTCGGATAGAGATTTAAAAAAAAGTGATATATGTTTACAAAAACAAAACAAAACGGATTTAATCAACTTGGGTAATGTTAAGCTCAGATGTCTAAAACATGTGTTCAAACAATTTATTAAACATTCAGCTAGCAGAGGGCGCAGTTTATGAAAAATAGTGTGCAGCACCTTACTTAAGAACTAACGTGCTGAAACTTGGTAAAATTAACATAAATTCAAGACAACATATTACATATACAATGGTTATTAATTGTCTGATGAAAAGCAAATGTCATATAAAATTAGGAACTTTCACACGAAGCTAAGCAAGAATTATTTACGTATAACTGTCCCTTATTTCAAACTGCTAGAATAGAGGAAATAGCGATAGTCAACGGCATTCACCGTCAACTCTTCGGTTAATCTTGTCCAAACGAATAGTGGGATATGTCTGTTACTCTTATAGCGCACTTGTGGCCCCAAAGTGCGGCAACAGGACACAAATACTGAACCCTTAGGCTTTGCCAGCAATATGGACATGTAGCTTTGCACATATTTTGTTGAGAAAATGATACAAAATAAAAAGGTATGAAAAGGGCAAAACTAAAATAGGAAAAGTATGTTATCGGATCAATGAATAATTGATTGAGTGAAGAGAAACTGTGTTTGAATATTTTGAATTGTAATTAAGGGACTTAAAGTATCTTTTATATGTATAATATTGATTACCTAGACCTTCTAGACAACATGTAAAAAGTTAATATCCTAACAGGTGACAATTTAAAGATGAAAATATATAACAAAATAATGACTGCGCCCCAAGAAGCTTATCAAAACTATTTTTCACAGAAAAGAAAAATCACAAGTAATTTCCTCCAAGTGTAAACAGATTCAACTGTGCAATGAACAGGTATGTCTTATTGATTGTAATATTATGATATATGAAGCGTGAGATGTTTTATTTCCTTGTAGTTTAGGAAGTTAAAACATTTTCACATTTACACGCGTTTGGTACACTTGTTGAACGTATAACGTTCGGACAGCTGGATTTGGAATATGGTGTCCTTATTCTTGTACTAGTCACTTATTGTATTTCTGGACTGTCCCATGGAAAGTTACGCTGAATAATTCCTTAGATCAGTGTTAATGTGTTTTTTAGTAGAATTAGTTGTGTAGGGGTTTAGAAATACCTGACGATTCTGGCTTTATTATTTTTGCTAATGCGATGACCAGGTGATGTGAACGACAGATTTATTTTGGAAGATTTGACCTAATCAGAATTAACAGATAGAACTTGCGTCTCTCAGTCTTATCTAGATATTTCTTCCAGACATAGTTCTGTCTTTCTCAAGACTTCTTTGTCTTGCGAGTATTATTTACGATTGAATTAAATTGTTTGTTTTTCGCTTGACGAGAGTTAAATGAAGTTGTTTTGTCTTTTCTGTCATATCTGTTGTTACTTATCTTTCCTCAGTTCAGTCAGGTCAGACTACAGTTTAACTCCATGATAAATATTCTGCTGAACCTCTTGTTAGAGCAGATACTATTCTTACCTGAAGGCTGCCGTAAATAGTGTAAAAGGTTGGGGGACCTCTTACAAATGTCCAAAGGGCAAGGGCGGGTTAACAATGGCGCCATAGGCCACACATGAAAAGGGGCCTATTGCGATGTGTACACATTATGTTACATTTTCGTAAATATTGTGTATGGATTTGAAGACTGTTATCATGCCTGTGGAATTTTATATCAAAAAGGGAAGTTTGTGTATGTTCTCTTTATCTTCGTGTTTATTTTAATACTATTTTTATTCCTTTATTCTTTTAGACTGAGTGTTTTGGAAGTTTTGGAATGATATGTTTTGAGTTTTGAAATTCTTGAACACTGAAATCAAGAAAATATTAGTGTTCCAAGACTTTAAAAGATCTTTCCGTTATCCTGATAAAACTGCTCTGCCATCAGGCAAAGTTTACCACAATTGTTAAATTGTGCATGTTTTGCAAATCATTGTTAAATTGATTATTTCCATCTTATCTGAATAAAGGAAAAAATAAATAGAACACATAAAAATAGGGTACCTACAAAAAGTTAATACGGCTTTGTTCATGGTCCCATAATTACTATCATACATATATTTTCTACTTAGAAAAACGATATGAGTATCGTAATTCTTTTTAAAAAATCAAATATACTAGCTATATGAAGCGTAGGGTCACCTTTTTTATTTCTCTTTTTCTCGCCGACAATGATGCAAAAAAACAAGTAACGTTTGTTTTGTCGGCAGATTTCATTATCTGAAATACAGAAAGACTCAGATATGACATTTTTATGCGTCTATGTGATTATTTTATTGTTTGTTTATTGAATTTCGCCCAAAATTTACCCGAAAGTTATCTGTGCCTGATTTTAAAGTGATAGAGGGATGGCTGGTAATCTACACCACCCACCACCAACTATTATCAATTTTTGTTGTTGTTAGGCACAAAGCTACAAAATGAGCTATATGTACTGTATCCACCGCGAGTATCGAATCCCGATTTTTAACGTTATAAGGCCCCGGGCTTACCGCTGAGTCATTGCAACATTCAGACACGTTCATAGGCACAACAATGGGGGTTGGGGTGGTGGCTAAACCATTTTTAGTGCCAGTTATACCCCACCCCCAATATTCAGACACCTGTGCCGAAATTTGTGATTTAACTTTATAGTGGCGTAGTCGGTTTATTAAGTTTTTTTGTATGCGGCTGATAAGTTTTTTTTCCTAATTCTTGCCCTCCAGTGGCACAGCGGTATGTCTGTGGACTTACAACATTAGAAACCGGGTTGCGATACCCGTGGTGGGCAGAGAACAGATAGCCTTTTCTGTAGCTTTGTGCTTAACTGCAAACGAAGAAACCTTAATTCTTTGTGCCGACTTACATAAGTATTGTTAACATCTCGCAGTGTAACACACTCTATGCTTGCGTCGGTACAGCAGCAAACATTTTTCATCTGGTTTGAAATGTAATACTGTTTTCACCTGCTGTGTCACTCAAAAAAAGTGATA